ACAAAAACTAGATTGGGACGAATCCATCCCTGAGAATCTTCATACAGTTTGGGACTCATTTAAGCAGAATTTGTTGAACCTCAGCGGTATTCAAGTCCCTAGATTCGTCCATACAGATACGCAGTCACCCATTCAAATACATGCGTTCGCCCATGCCTCAATGCGAGCTTATGGCGTAGTTTTGTAGTTTTACTCGCAGATCGGCAAGCCAATTATATTCTCGAAGTTATCGAAAGCTACTCGTCACATTCAAAATCGCTGAGGGTGTTCGTTTGGGTTTTTCGATTTATACAAAGGTGCAGAAAGGTCTCGAAGCCCTTTGATCCTATATCCAAGGCAAGCGAACTTAATTTGGTATTCAACAAAATTGTTCAAGTCATCCAGGACAATGAGTTCGGTGACGAAATCGACAAAGTTCGAAAAAAGAGAACACTTAACGCTAACTTACAGCGTCTGAGTCCATTTCTACATGAGTTTAGAGAAGACGGTTTCTTGTTTTCCTTGCTGAGAGTGGGGGGAAGATTATTAAATGCTCCTATCCCGTACGAAGCCAAGTTTCCGTTGTTGCTTTCTAAAAAGTCGCAATTCATAAGATCGTAAGTATCTTATTTGCATGTGTCAAATTGCCATGCTGGCCCTAGATCGCTGGTGAGCCTGCTTCGTGAGCAAGTTTGGCTGGAAGTGTGTCGCCGAACAGTACGTTCGTGCATCCTCTGCTTCAAATGGAAGCCCCGGTTGGCCTCCCAAGTAATAGGAAATCTTCCGGCAGACAGGCTCCAGCCGTTCCACCCGTTCGAAGTATGTGGTGTTGATTTTTGTGGCCCTATAAGCACAACGCTTCGCATCCGTGGCAAGCCACCGTACAAGACGTACGTGGCTCTTTTCGTTTGTTTTGCCTCGAAAGCGGTTCACTTAGAGCTTGTGTCAGATCTAACCACTGATGCTTTTCTCTTGGCTTTTGAAAGGTTCGTCGGCAGGAGAGGCGTCCCTCGCAAAGTTTACTGCAACAACGCAACGAACTTCGTGGGAGCCGACAGGAAGCTGCAGGAGTTCCGAGCGAGATGGGAGAAGGAGGCGGAAGGCGTACGCGAATTCGCATCAACAAAAGGATGCGAGTTTGCGTACATACCACCCAGAGCGCCTCACTTCGTCGGTCTATGGGAGGCAGGTGTCAAGTCTGCAAAGCACCTGTTCCTACGGACGGTGGGCAATGCGCTCCTGACCGCAGAGGAGCTCGGAACACTCCTGGCGAGCGTCGAGGCGGTGCTGAACTCTCGGCCACTGGGACCACTCAGCGCGGACCCCAGCGACGGCGAGGCGCTAACCGCTCCCGAACATCGACAGCCAAACCTGCTTAAGGCGATGGCGCAATGCCTCGTGTCTCAAGCACAGGTTTTGGCAGCGATGGTCCCGGGAGTACATTTCGAGCCACCAGGTGCGAGCGAAGTGGTTCCAGGAGGAACCCAACGTCGTCGTGGGACAACTCGTCGTGGTGGCCGAAAACAACGTGCCGCCACAAAAGTGGGTACTTGGGGGCCGGTGTTGGCGCAGATGCTGTTTTAGATTAGGATAGTTTAAGAGAAATATTTGAATTTTAGTTCAGGGCGAAAAGAGAGCGCGAGAGCGGCCGTTTGCGGACGTCGCCTCGGGCCCTTTTTTCGCCGCCTTAGGCTTAGTTTAGCATGTAAGCCGAATTTTGAAGTTAGTTGTAAAATAGAACTAAATAGAAGCATAATCGCCACCGCATCGTTTCGTCATTTTCTATATTAAAGTTAAAGTTAAAAGCAAGCGTCCCATTTTTCTTCGTTTTTATACAATTTATATAAAATCATATAAATTTTCAACGGTCTTCTGTGCAAGATTAAATAACTTCTACCCGCGCCCTATTATGGTCTCCTAAGATCATACTTGGATGGAAGGCAGTTTAAGGTCTGTGCCAGGGGCACCTACTCAGCCCCCTGCCAGATGAGGGCTGGTGTTCCGCAAGGCAGCGTGCTTGGCCCACTGCTCTACTCGCTATATACTGCTGATTTACCTAGACCCAATGAAGAACATATGGAGGACTCCTCGAAGGCTTTAATTGCAACATATGCGGACGACATTGCGGTTCTTTATAACTCGAAAAATCACCGAGAAGCAGCAAATGGACTACAGAGCTATCTCAATACACTGGCAGCTTGGTGCACTAGGTGGAATTTAAAGGTCAATCCCATGAAAACCTCTAACCCCTGCTTCACGCTGAAAATGCTAATTCCCTGCACGCCTCCTATTCAGCTTGAGGGAGTAACCCTAGAACAGCCAGCGCAAGCTAAATACCTATCTCTGGAAGCTACCAAAGGCAATCCCAACCAGTAAGAGACACACATGGAAACCTGCTGACCAATGATGAAGCCCAAATAGAAGGATGGCGTCAACACTTCATGGAGATCAGCAACACTGCCACACCAAGCAGTAGTGATGACTTCAGAGGTATTGCACCAACAAATGGGATACTGAGAATCTCGTCCGCACCACCATCAACCAGAGAAATCGGCAACGCAATAATGAAGCTGAAGCACAACAGGGCAGCTGGAGAAGACGGCATACCAGCCGAACTCCTCCAAGTTGACACCCAGCTGATGGCGGAAATACTGCATCCACACTTCGCTGGCATATGGGAGAGCGAACAGATTCCAATTACCTGGAAAAGCGGATTCATTGTAAAACTAGCCAAGAAAGGTGACCTTAGCGACTGTAACAACTGGAGAGGAATCACGCTGTTGAATACGAGCTATAAAGTTCTAGCCACACTACTGAACGAGCGACTTCAGGAAAAAATTGAGCCATCAATACGTGATGAACAGGCAGGATTCAGACCACACAGGAGTTGCGTAGACCAGGCAAACACACTACGGATAATTACCGAACAAGCTGTGGAATGGCGGGCCCCACTGTACCTCCTGTTCATCGATTTCAAGAAGGCCTTCGATTCAGTGGAAAGAGCGGCAATATGTGGCGCACTTGCAAGGAGAGGAGTACCGACCAAAATTATCGCCATAATTAAGGCGATGTATGATGATGCCAACCTGGCGGTCTTGCACAATGGAGAAACAAGTGCACCTTTCCAGACAAACACAGGAGTCAAGCAAGGCTGCCCTCTATTGCCACTGCTCTTCAACATCGTGGTAGACGAACTCATGAGGGAAATATGCAAGTCCAAGCGTGGCATCACGTGGAGCTTCAACAGACATTTTGAAGACTTGGACTATGTGGACGACATCTGTCTGATCTCTCACATGCTCTGTGATATTCAATCCAAAACTGATGACCTCGTGGAGTTAGCCAGTCGAGTCGGGCTGGAAATATACACGGCAAAAACAAAAGCGATGCGCTTCAATCACGCCAGCCAAGGAAATATCAACATATGTGGGAACCCAATCGAGTTTGTTGATAACTTCCCATACCTCGGCACCATTATCTCCAAAAATGGTGGCGTAAATGAAGATGTGTCGAGCCGTCTTACCAAAGCCCGATCAGCATTCGGAAGACTGTATTGCATATGGAGAAGCGGACAGTTAAGCAGAAAAACCAAACTCCGAATTTTCAATGCCTTCGTGAAATCCACATTACTGTATGGGAGCGAGACGTGGCTGACCACACAAAGAATGATCCAACAGCTGCAGGCATTTATAAACAAATGCCTCAGAATTATATGCGGGGTATTCTGGCCGAACAGAATATGAAACGCAGACCTGTGGAGCATGACTGGTGAATCTCCAATCCACCTCCAGATAAGGAAGAAGAAATGGATGTGGATTGGCTACGCACTGCGAAAGGACCCACACAGCATTGTAAGGATGGCGCTAGACTGGAACCCCCAAGGAAACAGACGGATCGGCACACCTAAGATAACTTGGCGACGGACCACCCTTCAGGAATTATCCCATAACAACATCACATGGGACACAGCTAGACAGACGGCCAGAAATAGAGTTCGATGGAAAGTACTTGTAGAAGCCCTAAGCTCCCAAGTGGAGTAAAACAGGAATATAAAAAAAAAAAAAAAGCCACCACTAACTTATTAATCCTCGCGCGGAAGTGCTCGAGGTTGGGATATTTAGTGATTATGTGTCTATATGCCAAGTTTAATAATGATAGGTGAATTAGGAAGAAAGTTATAGCCTTAAATGTAATCTCTGCCCGCAGCTGTTGCTGTTGCTGCATTGGTTCATCTTTGTACTGCATACATACAGGCAGAGACACAATTTCGATGTAAATTTATTCTATTGAAATTTTACATAAGCACTTATGTATGTGTTGAATATTTTATATTTAATTAATTAATTTAATTAACTAAGTTTTTTTTTTAATTTTATTTTTATCATCATTTTTATTATCATTTTTTGTGGAGAGGGTATTTTACTGTCGGGCTTGCTCCACTGTAGCGTTCTCTCTTGTCGGGTGGTTTAGGGTGTTTAAGGGTTGAGCTCGCTAAATTTTAGCATTCCTTTCTTGGTTTAATTTTGAAAATAAATTTCCTTCTAGTAAATGCTCATCAGTTAAAGACGAATCCATTGCTACTAACGAAAATATATACGCATCAAATTCGCACCTGTCAGCTTGCTCGCAACGCAAGCAACTCGTCTTCAGCTTCGTCCCAGCGGGCACTATTAGCACCCTAACTAAAAACCCCGAAAATAATGTAATTGATGAATCAGTCTAATTTAGTATGGTAGCTTTTAATCGATATCTGAAAACGATGGCAAAGTTAACATCTCCGAGCAAAGACCCCTGTCGTTAGACGGGTATTTATTAAAGAACCCTTGTATAACACCTTTTCTCTGCTTTTTATATATATGTAGAGTTTGATAAATAACAGGATGAGTATGGTATTTTGTTATACTAGGAGTTACTTAAAGTGACTATTATTTTATTCATTTAAAAAGGGCGATTTGTATGTATATAGTTTTAATGACTCTAATCAAAAAATCATCATCCCAATATTTTAATTTAAATATGAATATTAATGCAATTATTCTTTTTAATGTATCAAATTTTTAATATAAATATACAAATATAGAGAAATTCGAACTCCTACGAGCACTCCTCTTGACTTTTTCGTACACAACGTGCAACTTTACGTTTGAAATCAGGGTACGATTCGCGCCACTCTTTGGCAGCATCGACATTTGCTGGAGACTCATCGTTCGGATCTGCCAACATTGATATCACGGATATCAATATTGTTTCGACTGTGTGTACTGGCAACCAGCGTTCCGATGCCTTCTCATAGCCCCATTTATCATCTCCAGGTTCGTGCAATATTGAAATGCAAACATCACCATTCTTTTCAATATTTGGATGCCAAATTTCTGTAACAAACTTCATTCGTGGTGGGAAATACAGATGTGCCTTCAAGAAACCTCCTTCGCTGCGAATATAAAATTTAACAAAACATGTATTATTTTAGTGTAAATACATAGTTTTAACAGTTAATATTTATAAGGCAAATATTATCAAACTCTGTATACATCAAATGTAAGAGTATATAGTGTTGACGCGATGTGAAAAGGTAACAAAAGGAGGCGTGGCTCCACTTCCCCCCCATAAGGGAATTTCGGAAACACCTTTGGTATAATCACCTATATCTCGGAAACTATAAGACCTAGAGTCACAAAATTTTAGTCCAAGATACATTATATGAATTTAAAAAAATTATGTTTTGAAATTTCCCTCCCTCTCCTTTCTCCGCCGGAATCAACAATTTTTTATAACTCTCGTAATTCGTGGAATTTTGACCTCCAGTTGGTAATTATGTGTCCGTATGCCAAGTTTCATAATGATAAGCCGATTTACAATGAAGTTATAGCCATATTTATTACCTCTGTCCAAGCTCTGCCCGCAGCTGTTGTTGCTGCTTTTTGCCGGCTCACGAGGCACGCACGGACAAGCATAGACTCACATAAAAACAATTCCAACGTAAATGTACTGTTATTCTGTTATCCTTTACATAAGTTCGAATACCAAAGAAGGTAAAAACGATCAACAAATTTTAAATTTTTTTTTATATATTCTTAATTTTTTTTGTATTTCTATAATTATTCTACAAATATGTACAAGTATTTCATAGTCGGGACACCCGACCTTAGCTTTTCCGCTTGTTTTTAATATCCTGTACAGAAAGGGTTAGCTAGTTTTGTGCAAATATTTGTTTTCAAAATATTTTTTTCGACCGCGAGTTTCCCCACATCCGCCCCTTAAATATATCAATGATTTGATCTGACAACACTTGAAATACTCATTCTCAAAATACTTGTGTTACGATCACATTTTGGGCTTGAATCAGCAACAATTTAATAAAAGCGTCACCATACACATATTGTAATGCAAATTGGTGGTGCATAGTTCAAATTACGAGCTTGGCGCTCAAGTATCGATTTGCGCTTATCGAAACGCCCACATGCGCCACCTATCAACAGCTGTTTTTTACAAGATCGATGCTGCCGCAGACAAATTCATGGCTTCAACCGCAACTAACCTTAAGGAGTTTTTCTCTTCCTGGTGTGCTCTGGACCGACACGGTGGTGTTCTCCGCTGATGCGGATCATTTAAGCCTCTCCACATGTGTAATTTAAAATCATTAAGTATTTGGGCCATCTGCCTGTTTTAATCGTCATTGAAGGCTAATAAAGTGAATTAAAGAAAAGCTGAGTTGAACGACGCACTTTTTTTCTTCGGCGCTGCTGTTAATTCTTCCGAAGTAGGCCCTTCTCTGTCAAGCGTCGACGCGCGCCACGAGCGCCTCCGCTATACAGATTTGTTGCTGCAGCCACTTCGCCAGCCGCCCCGCTGCTGGACCTTGCTGCTTTACACACCTGCCTGCTATCGTTTTGTGTAGCGAATCGCCGGTCACCGCTCGGCCAAAGGGCGATTTACGCTATATTGGTGTCAGATGTGGGGTTATGTTCGATCACCGCGAGGGATCCCAGCCACACAAAAAGCCGAAAAATAAAAATAAAGCAAACGATAAGTGTTGGCAAGCCATCGATAGCTTCAGCCAAACAGTGAAAGCCATGCACGAGACATGACGAGAAGTTACCCAAAACATGCTACGTGTTTTAATAGGAGTCCTCGCTGCGCTTTTGCCGAACACAGGAGGGAATGATAAGGAGGCTTCCGCACCGCATTGGGCTGCTGCTTTAAATACTGACGTGCCAACCAAAGAGGCCATTCAGGCGGCAGCCCATGCAATGCTTCAGCGGCTGGAAATACAGCCGCCGTCGACTTATTCAACGTGAACACATGGGAACCAACATGCTACGACAGGAATGCAGCTGCCAGCGCCCACCACGTCCACGCCGGATCGAGACGCGCACCAGCACCAAAGTGCTGACTCCATAGCGCACGTGGCTATATCTGCCGCGTTTAATGCTGTGGCCCACGCTACGACCACCGAACAGACGATGGAACAACGGATGGCAATAAACGAAGACACTCTGGCTGAAAATGTGTCTCCGGAACCGCAGCGCGCCATGCATTTGCCCAGTCAACTTTTGTCGACGCTTGGACGCCCGCCGCTGTCAAGCAACGCACCGGCTGCAGGAGAGAAGACAGTGTTGGTCTGCTGCCGTTCGCCCTGAATGGCAATCCGCTGCACATCTGTCGGCACCGCAGCCCATACTAGCGAATGACCGCTTTCTACAGGGCCGCCACCCATCGCACACAGCATCACAATTCCCCCACAGCGCTGCCAGATCAGGCAGACCATTTGAGTTGGCGTTTGACACTGTTGGAAGTCAGCGCCCTCCGTTCAGCCCCAGTATGCTGCCCGCCTACGATGACTATGAGCGCATAGTGGATACGGTGGCCGAATTTTATGGCTGGACTGATAAGGAGAGGCGGATCGGGGTCGCGTTGAACCTCAAAGGACGCGCGCTAAAGCTATACAACACATTGCCCGGATGGCCAGGCCCACGCTATGACACACTTTGCACAGCCATGCGAAGATGGTTCACGCCCAGCAGGAGTCATACCTTCAACAATTTTATGGTCGGCGGCAGAACATGCGCGAGACTCTGGAGGATTTTGCCCTGGATTTGGAGCACTTGGCGCAAAGAGCATTCGGCAGCGTACCTAAAGCGCTGCTTAATTTCACACTCGTGCGACAGTTCGTAGATGGAGTTCGTGAGTCGGCTTTGCAGAGCATCTTGGCCGCGCAGGGGCCCCGTGACCTGGCGGAAGCCCTCGGAATAGCTAATCGGGTGTACACTCAATGCATCCATAAGACAAGTAAGCCCATATTCCAGGTCGAGCAAAGTAGGCCACCAGTTTTGATACAGGCGAGCAAGAGACGTCCCCGGAAACGTAAACGTGAGGCTGCCCGACCGCCTCGAGGAAGCTCGGCGGGAAATGTTCAGATGCCAGTTCTCTGAGAATTGGCATCTTTCATCAGCGCCTCGACCAAAGCGCAGCCGCCGCCTTCTGAAATAAAATCCGTCATAGTCGAAGCTTCCGCTCCTGAAGGCGACGCCATCCAAGCAGCGTCGACGGACACCATCCAGGAGAATGAAAGCATATTTGCCGCGCTTTTCCGAGAAGGCCACGAAGTTAAGGCACCTAACGAGACGACAACTCAAAGCCACACCGTCGAATATCAGACACCAGCTCCCGTGGCTACGACAAGCGACACGCCAAATGTAGCTTCAACTTTATTTCCGGTTCATACGCAAGGCAGCCAAAGCCTGCACTGCGTCGTGATCCTACAGGATCGCCCCGTCCCAACCAATGCAGACCACGCCTTGCGATGTGGTGCTGAAAAGACCGTCTGCCGAAACATTTCGAGCCACAAAGCGAGCCACAGTAAGATTTCGGCTTGGCAAGCGAACACTTAGCCATGACTTCCTTCTTGTTGGTGGCGACACACCAAGCTTGCTTGGCATTGACTTCCTGCTACAACAGAAGTCCGTGGTGAGTTTAAAAAGGCTGTGTCTAACATTTGGCGGCAGCGCCATTCCTCTTTTCCCCCCAGGGCGAGACAACATGCTGTACCTTACATCGCCAGTTTATGACATTGCGATTGCTGAATTTGACTGCACAGGATTAAGTACTTCCGGCTTTTTCTGCGCTGGGCCGCCTGGAGCCAGCAAGTGTGCTGCACGACGATCCGCGGCCCGCGGTTCCTCCCGACATCGAAAACTGGAATTTCCTAATTGACGATGGGCTGCCGCCATCTCTGAGACAATCGTTACTGAAATTATTGCACATCATCTGGCAACCCTGTCGTTGAAATCGGTCGTGGTTATTTTGAGCTCTATGATTAATCGTTTTTTAAATATAAACTGAACTTTTTGCCAAAGTACTACTTTGTCAAGTGTACACATATCTGTGACTGATTACCAGCGAATGCTTTACTTAATCGATTGCGGCTTACAAACGCTAAACCTCTAAGTGCAGTGAACAAGTGACTTTTTGTTGTTGCTTTCCATCAGTGCATTCACATTTCGGTGCGCCTATATACGAACAACAAAAACAAATTTTTTTCGTTACCAACTGTGCCCTTATCCTTGATCAAAAAATGCAGCTGTTAGTGGGGACGTGTCGAAACACTAAAATAGAGTCAAAACCTTTTCATTCCCGAATTTTTTGAATAAAATCTTCGTTTTAAATCAACTAAAAACATTTTTGCTAATTACTTTGAGTGCGTGTGTTTGTGCTATTCCTAGTGCCATTCAACAAACATTGTTTTTTTTCATAGCATACGTTTAGGCTCTAACTAAAACGGACCATAATGTTTTCTTGCTGTTTTAAGTCCTGTGAGTTTGGCCATAAGCTTGGTTCAATGGGCCCTACAGTGCAGTGCTGGTTGTGCGACGACGTTGGTCACGCGAAATGTGCCGGGTTCGTTGGCCGGGTAACTGACTACTTAGGCAAAAACAACGGCTTAATCTGGTTTTGTGAAAAATGTCGTAGTATTGCTACCGAAATGCGTCAGTTTATGAAACAGACGCATAAAAGCATAAAAGAACTTCGTGCCGTTTCAAGTTTTCCACGAAAAATTTGTAACGCTGGAAACGACGTTTCTTGGCCTTAAGCTACTGTCCGAGTCTCCAAAAAGGAAGAAACGAAACTTGACTATATCCCAGCCTAACATACTTACAATCCCGGATAACAACACAAATTGTGCTTCACTTTCTACACCAGCTTACCCTAATCCTATCGTTGAAGCATTTGCTACACCTGCCGCGGTCTCACTTGGGGAGAGCGCTTCATCTTCGTGTTCACTTGCTGCCCTTATGAATAGTGAAATGCTTTTTCCGGGTGTTTCTTCAGCCATATCAATTGC